TGTAGTATGCTTTCATCCTCTATCAGGCGAATGGCTGCCAGTATACTGAAAGCTTATATACGTACATGTAAGAACTACAAAAGAAATACGATAGCCAACGCAGAAGCCATCAGTATACAGACGTTGATTGGTGACAGCAGTGAACAGCTGGAAGCCAGGAGTTAAATTAACACTGATTGGTAATAAGCACTGATTGGAAATGGAAAGGTGGAGGCGGGTGGTATTTAGTTTAAGGTGAGACTTTCATTTTGTACTCATTACTCATATTCATTGAAATGGCATCAAGCCACTCTTTATAAACAGCTTGCTGTGCACACTATATTGGAAGGTTGATTGAGCTGTGAGGCCTCACACTCGATATTATTATACATAGTTAGGCTATGAATCATATAGATGGTTTTGTTGTCTAGTTTCAGTTGATATTACCTGTGAACATTGATTCCCTACTTGCCTGATTAATTACGTCGGAATGTAAGACGTCTATGAACTATGTTTTCTGGTCAGTCCATTGTAGAAGGAGGATGGCAATATAACCCTGTTACATTTCTTATGTGAGTTGAAAGTTAAATGAAATCGACAAAACCCTTTCCATAAGTACATAAAATATCTGCTAAATTCAGACACCAGTGTACAATTATGACATTCTAAGTATATGAATCAGTGTAACATACCAGGTGTCCACGAATAGGTCTGAGCATCCTGTTCCAGCAGTTGCAAAATCACAAACACAAGCAAAGGCAGGTAAATCATTCACCAGATAAAATTTGAAATTTGGGAACTGATTTTTGCTCACACCAAATAGGTATTTGCTTTTGACATTTTTTGTTACCGATGCGTCATATCTGGTAATGTCTTCGAGACCAGGTGAAACTTAAGGCTAGTTTCTCGAAAGAGAGCAGCAATTCTTCAACATGAGGCTCGTCTTTCCAAGCACCCCTTAAACAGCACATGCTCTCATCAGATTCAGAAGACTCATTTTGGAAAGTTTCTGATTTTGAGTTTTACCTTGCTGATATCTTTTAAAATTTGTTCGGGTTTTTTTCAACAAGGGTATGTGCAAAACCTCGAAATACCCTCCGCATGTTTTTTATTGAATTCTTTGTTTTTCTAAACCTTAAATGTTGTAAAAGTCAAACTTGTATTAAAGTGTAAATAACAAAAATAGGAAAAAAGTGAAACTCCTCCTAAAGAAAGTCCACTTTCTAATACTTTTTAGATAATATTAACATCATAGGTGTTCCCGTACTCCAAAATATTGCCTGTCCATACGTCCATAAAGTGCATGCATTAGCAAAATGCTTTTGTGCATTATGTCTGTCAACTGAGATAATGCTCCATGTCCATACCTTGGTGACACACCTTGGGCTGTAAGGGTTCTGAACGCAAACTTTTTAAAAATATATAATAAATATACCTGGATGACTCACCTTGGGCTGTGAAGGTTCTGAACGCAAACCTTTTAAAAATATATAATAAATATACCTTGATGACTCACCTTGGGCTGTGAAGGTTCTGAACGCAAACTTTTTAAAAATATATAATAAATATACCTTGATGACTCACCTTGGGCTGTGAAGGTTCGCAAACCTTTAAACGCAAAAATATTTGAAACTCATATAATAAACGCAAACTTTTTAAAAATACCTTGATGACTCACCTTGGGCTGTGAAGGTTCTGAACGCAAACTTTTAAAAATATATTATAAATATACCTTGATGACTCACCTTGGGCTGTGAAGGTTCTGAACGCAAACCTTTTAAAAATATATAATAAATATACCTTGGAGACACACCTTGGGCTGTGAAGGTTCTGAACGCAAACTTTTTAAAAATATATAATAAATATACCTTGATGACTCACCATGGGCTGTGAAGGTTCTGAACGCAAACTTTTTAAAAATATATAATAAATATACCTTGATGACTCACCTTGGGCTGTGAAGGTTCTGAACGCAAACTTTTTAAAAATATATAATAAATATACCTTGATGACTCACCTTGGGCTGTGAAGGTTCTGAACGCAAACTTTTTAAAAATATATAATAGATATCAACTCATGTGCGAATGTTCTTCACAGTATGCTCCTCCTTTTTTCACAAAATGTTTCCGTAATGACCTTAGGATCAAATACAGGTTGTGGTAAGGTGATAGCTTCTGAATCTGACGATTTACACAGCTGGCGGAGATCACAGAAACTCATATTATCATTGGTATTCCATTAGTTAATGAGATATTCACCAGCACTGTGAAAATCTTCAAAAAACATATAGAACAACAAAGTACCTCTAACTGTTTCTGACAAAGCCAAGTAATCAATTTTTGTGGCGTTCGACACATCGTTGTCATAGTTACCGACTACATGATCAGAACGTAAATGCAACAGTGTGAATTGGCGACATCTGAGCATACATTTTGTTTGTTATCAATTTTCTTTTGTGGTTATGAGGTATATAAATGTACTGAAATATCCTTTGGTCAGTCATATGTTCTTTTGTCGCCTTAGTCTGCCATGGGCAATTTTAAGGTCAAAGTGAAATCACATGGCTTAACCAGAAAATCAAGTGTTTGATATTTTGAAGAAAACCCCTCGCTGTCGTGTGCAGTAACATGCCATGAGCGGTATCTGACCACCCTCCCCATCAATTCGGCCTTACGGCCAGCATAGATTAATGATCGACCTTGAACCCCATGAGGTTAATAAGGCCGATTATGGATATAATAATAATTTTAAAAGATGTTGGACACCAGTCCGTTGATGATAAAATTATCTTAAAATGACGATTTGCAAGTTAAACGTTAAACGTATCTACAGTATTGACGTTGACAACAACCTCAAGCACCCCTTAAGGTACTACATTTAAATTATATCCACGCATGCCCCACCACAGTAAACAGATAGCACAAATGTATATTTCATAGTCGTGTTTATTTGATCCAAATATTACGAACAGACTGGCATAAGCAATGTAAATAAAGATTGAAACATAAACATTGTCACCAAAATATACACGATCGCTTTCATGAGTTTACATAAAAATATATTTTCCTATACTTACAACTGGCACAACAGGTTAACGGATCATTAACGAGAAGATTACCTGTTCAAGACAAACGACATTTGGCGGTATGAGATGTAAAATCTTGGTCGACTGTAGGTACCTCAATGCTGTATTTTACGTATATACACCATGCTCTTGAATATCGCTCACATTAATATCCACGTCAACATTAATAACAATAACAATACGCTGGCAGCATACACAGACGCTGTGTACGTGCAGTGAAAGGTCAATTATGTAAACATAATCAATATTGAAACACTTTGGTAATAATTGATCATGACACAGTCAAAAGAGTATCCATCAAGTCTCGCCACAGCATTACGGAAATATGTGTTATTAATAGAATACCATAAATATTTTGAAGTAAATGAATTTCATAGAAAGCTGAAATTGCATTAGGTATTTTCATTATGACACAAAAATAAAGGTCAATACGTCTGGCGGACAAATGTGACTGTGACAAAGCGTCATTAACTATCAAAAGTAGACATTAATTCAGATAATTGGGAATCAATTGCTTTCAAGATCCAACAGTCACCGGCTGATGTAGAAGACTCTTGATTCGATGAACGCACGTTGAGTTTAGCGTGGCCACAAGTGTAGACTCCTTTTCCCTTGACAGTGTGGTACATTCAATTTGAAATACACATTATACGATGTGAATTTGAAAAAATGAAATATGATATGCATGTATTAAATTTAAATCACACATTAGTTCTCTGTATACAATTTCAGCTGGGTCTTGTTCCACGAAGCAAACTTAGCCAACCGTAAATACCTTGAGATCAGCAGCAGATTAATATGGGGAGGTTGAATTGCTGTGGAATCTTTCACTAAAAAGGCACGACATTATGCCAAGCGAGTGGGCAATCAACATTCTGTATGGAATGCCAATGCCAGTAGCATGTACGTAGACGCTGACGGGATGTGGGGGTGGGGATATCGATATCGTGACTTGAGTCAACAACGATGCGCTCATCAGTCGGTGAGGATCAAAGGAAATATAAATATACTACTGAATTAGAGTTCTATATTTAAAGGCGTTGACACAGTCTGATGAGATAAATGTTCATATTGCCCCAGTCGATTTACTTGACGACCTAGAACAAACGTGGACTGACTGAAGTCGAATATAGCTTCAGAACTCACTATGAAAACATATGTTGACATTCACATTTCATTAGATCCATATGGAAATATAACTCAGATAACATCTGACAATACCTCCTGATAAAACTGTTACTCCTCTATTCAGGTAAGGCCATGACACTTTGATGGGTTGTTCATCGGATTTGGCCGTATTGAAGATATATGTATATATATAACTGTATAACGACTTATTTACCATAATAATACAACATATATCATTTTGATTAATTCTACAATATTAGGCTATTACGCATATGCCTATTTAACATTGCATTACTCAAACTGGGGGCTATTTTCAACCATTTATACTGTTCCAGATGTCAGTAGTCATTTGTACCTTGAGAAATGTTCATCAGAGAAACAAATTGAGAATATAAACGAACAGATAATCAAAGATTTGTGGCCTGAATCATGATGCACGAACATCAAAAGTTTACCTGTTACTAGTGGTATTTGTCCTTGCGTTGTCCGGCGTTCATAATGAGCTGCAGTACAACACACGTTCTACCCATATGGGTAGAAGCTTATATGTTACAATCCATAAAGACTTATAAACTTTAAAGGCACAATGCCACACATTTTCGACAATTGTTTGGCCTATGTCATATATATTGTGGCATATACACTCACCTTAGCTTCTTTTTGATGCAATAAAAGAATTATTATCCCTTATGACTTGCCTGAAGGCGATAATTGAAACTTCGAGGCAAACAGCTTCTAAACAGAGAACGTTTGCCATATATGGAATGTAAACAATTGCTCCGTACATCGAAAACTTTTGCGCGCGGTGTTGTCGGTGTTTGCCGAACTGGTTTCATAAGTTGTGCGTAGGATATTCGTAAAGAGCGCTCCAAGGGACGTAACTCTGTGGGGTTCGATTGAAATAATTATCGGCGCAAGAATCTATTTAATGCAACGTTGCATTAATTCATTCTAGCTATTTAATATAATACTGTTATCTAAATACGTAATTTTGATGGGAATTAATTATATGGTAGTTTCCTGATGGCTGATAGTTAGCATGACTGAGAGAAATGCATTAATTTTTCTTAGAGAAGTTTGGTGTGATACAGTGCCTTTAGTGCTGCAGTTGGCGTTGATGAACCGCCCATGACAGCAGATGTTACATGCTGGTGGAAAGGTAAACATGAAAACGTATAGTACAAACATACATTGTTCATCCACAAATATAATGTAGCTGGTGTTGGTGTGCCACGGCATTCAGATAATACACACTTAAGGCATTAAGATGAAAGAATATAGGGTATGGAGACAGGTTACTTAAAGGCAAATATATTTGTACAAATATTCAAAAGGTGTCAAAACATCCAGGAAGTGCAGAATTATGTACAAAGACATTTCCTGATCCAGGAGTTGTGTGTAACAATGCATGCAGAACTCAAGTACTGTACAACTAGAACCCCGCTCAAGAACTGCAGATTGAGGATCACAGCTGAGTTCTTTAGTTCCATGGCTTACACTGGGACTGAAATACCAGAAACCCGCGACAAAGAAACCCTACTTGGCCGCTTGACCAACAAGCCGTGCTGTCAAGATTGGAAGTCCTACTAATGAAGCCAGACAATGCCCGAAAGTCGGTGATCAGCTGAGGTCAGTCACCGAGGTCACCCTGTTCCAGTTCTAGTCACCTGGTAGTGTGTAATTCTATCCTGGAATCTGCTGCTTCAACAGACACTGAACTAGCATAATATTGGGACATATCTGAATGTTAAACAGGAATGTATCAAATGCCATATATTAACTACATACAGCTACTTCTTTGATTTGTAATACTAAAAGGAGTGGCAGAATGTTGAGATAATATTGAAAATGTTAACAAACTGAAAATGTTTGAAAATCATGGAAACATATAAAAAATATAAATTATGCTATTACCTTTTCACTAACAGTCGTTCTGCATAAACACAAACTGTGAACATCTGGATATGTACAAGCTCGCGATATTAACAAATGGAAATATTATATCACGAGGCAAAAAGGAAGCATTACTGACAACTTACAAGTGACTTACCCACAAGTCTGTGACAATACCAAAACACGTGTAAATACATTGTATATATACACATAATATATATATATCACACCACACAGCTGCACGTACATACAGCTAAACTGCTTCATTGGCTTGGAAGTAAAATATGATCAATAATCAAATGGAATATAATTATGCTCTTCCAAACGTTGAGTAAATACTTCAGACAAATTGTAAATGCAACTGTTCTAACATTTCCATGGTTTTCTTGTATACTCTTTCATTCCGTGAAAATCGATTCACTGTAGCTATGTCTGACATTGTCTTGTTGAACGAATATGAAATGAGAACGTTGCTGAATTTGTTGATATGTGTCTCAGATATGACCGGTTGTTAGTGATTACAATTCATTTACTGTAGATACTGTTCGAACAATGCAGCTAAGAATCCACAAGATGCATTGTTTCTGTCTGACGAATGGACATAGACAAACATACAACTTTATCATTACCATGTCACAAAATGTACACTGCTTGCAATAGTTTTCCATTAAACAACTGACATCTCATGAGGTTCATGGAATGGTACATATATTCATCTGTATCAATAACGCCCAATCGACAGCTCACACTGCAGTCAACCAGGCGCCAGTTGACATGGCTTATCCAAAGAGTGTGGAAGGACAAGTTCAACGCCCTTAGCACATGTAAGGCATTTAATTAATACAGATGTACCTATATTTCCGGTACTTTTCCTACCTTTCTGTTTTAGTGTCACAGCATGGTGGCTCATAGTACTGTCTCATCTCTTTTACTGCAGTACAAATTTATAATAATCGATCTACCGTAGTAGATACTGAACAGTAAGTGCAGTAATGTCTCATGTTGGTAACTATAATTAGTGTCTGAACAGATCATTGTTATTGTTCAAACCGTTCCCAATGTTTAGCACCTGTGTCCATGGGTGTCGACCATCTTTCTTGGCACCAAGTCACAGTTATACTCCGTCTGAAGAGAGTAAGGTGGCGGTTCAAATTGTTCTGGAAGTGAATTGGTATCAATCATGTGGTCAATACAAATACCAACTTGAAACACAAACGATTTCCCGTTTTTGTAGTCTGTTTTGTAGGTATTGTTCAGATCGTATCAGCCACCTTAGCTGAATGCATATATCGCACATTCCTTGGAGTCACGGTGGAACTCAGTGTTAACAGTGAACAACGGTGCGACATCGTATGGACTTGGCAGCTACTTTCTAAGGTTATGCCACATGGCATTTGACTTTCTCTGATTGTGTAGCATTTCATTCCAGTGATTGCCTTCTTTCCCCGGCCTGTCTGGGCCCAGCATACACCGACCGATGATTTCCCCATGTCCGATCAGATCATGGTCCATAACACAACACTCCAGGCCCACCTTTGGTAGCACGTCCGCCGGAACGTTGAACGTGAGGGCCTCGTTCCAAACCGGATTTGTTGAACTACGTATAACAGAAGTCTTCTTTCTCTTGATCTTCTTTCCTTCCACAAGGAGGGTCAACCGGACATAAGGATCTGGAAGAGATTTGGGCAAACTCGTTATCGAGGTTTCTGTGATACATATATCTGTTGTTATATCCGTTTTTTATTCTTACGACGTATCCTATCTCTGAAGGTGACAACGTTCGGACTGATAGGTACTAATGGTGGGAGGCATTTTGAAATGTTTAGTGATGATATATGTTTCAAAGCATTAAATCAACAACACTAGAGAATCCAACGCAACAGATTCTACTGGGAGCGAAAGGCAAAAAAGCTATGGAATTGAAGGTTTGGATCAATGAGATATATATATATTGCAGATTTCTTCATGTGCCTTTTCCACGTAAGCAGGCGCAAAAAAATGACATATTAAAAGAGTCTCCCACATTTATACAGCAATATGTACACGTCCAAATAGAGTTCCTAATAATACATTGAAAACAGGTATGTTTTGAGTCCTGACTTGAATGTGGCAATACTATCAGAAACTTTAAGATTGTATGGGAGTAAATTCCACAAGGTTGGGGCTACATATGAAAAAGTCCGGTTTCCAAAAGTTTTAATCCTGAAGTTTGGCACAAACAGAAGCTCTTGATTGGATGATCGAAGGCAACTCCCAATGTTCACGAATAGGCTAATCTGTCCTGCTTTACTTTTCACACAATGTGCAAACTCAAGTATGTATATGTTTGTGGCCTGAAGCCGCATAGCAGCAAATGGTTCCTGATGTTCGTCAAAGCCATAGCTAAAGATCTATGTTTTCTCTAATTTCATACACAGCGCTAATTTCCCAAGCCTACCTGCTGAAGGTGGGTTGCTGGACACGGTCAGTTCCTTGGCCTTCATGATGACCACTGTGAGGCGTTCGGCAGTGGGGAGATAACTCAGCGACACCAGCAACTCACCCAGTATGCCCGAGGCCTGGAAGGAAGCAATGTATTTAAAGGGAGTCCACAGTACTTACATCATGCCAGACAAGACTAAGCCGTTGGACATAGTAAACAGTAAATGTGTGACACATTATCTCTGGATTACATACGTAATCATTCAGTTGTGCGATTGGTATGAATACACAATGCCTCTGCAGGCGATTAGGTGCTTTACTTAGAGAGTGTGGGTTCGAATCCCGAAAAGAACTCAACCCAAAAAAAGTACTGGAATCTGTACTTTACTGAGAAAGTGCCATCCAATATATAACTATTACATGTTAGTTTGATATAATTATTATTAAGTATACTTCTCGGAGTAAGCAGATGGTACTTGCTAGAACTGTAAGTGGGTTCAAATGCACTTTTAATGGCCGATGGAACCGTTGTAGTTATGAAGAAATCGGTCAAAACCATGGAATGAATGTTACTTGTTTAAGACTTGATATCAGTTTGAAGAAGGTTTCATTAATATTACATGACAATACATTTCCCTTCAGGCATTCAAACATTTAAATATTTGTAATATCGAAGCTTAACTTCAAAGAACCGTCTTTCTTTTGAAACACAAAGGAACCTGAGTCAGATACGTAAGTTTATGTGAGCAGTTCATGATGGTGATGTGTAAAGACACTGTAGTTCACTTTAACAAAAACAAAAAAGGGTTAATCCCCGAATGTCATAATCACAGCTAAAGGTTCTTACCTTTTGATGTTTCTGAATGTCACACCACATTTCCACACTGTTGCTGATTTCCACCTTTCCCAGGTCAATCTGCACTTCGCCTATAACGTTATGACGAGAGAACTTGTCGTAATCATATATATGAAACACTAACAGCTTGTCTTTCACTTCGTCAAAGGCAACAGGGAACTTGAACCGTTCGTTATAGTAAGGGTTAGAAGTCTTCCTCTTGACGGATGACTGTCGGATACGCTCGTCAACGCTCGGCACTAATGCAATACGTATGTAGGGATCACTGAATCCTCCGAGAAGTTCCGATAGTGGCAGGTCTTGGGCTGGAGCAAAACGTTGTAATCAGTTAATCATTGGGAAAGGCAAAGAAAAAAGATGACGTTCGATAAGGATCCTTTTGATCAATTAGAGCGGAATAATTGAAGCAGCTTGGCTTCAAAAGCAACAATTCAGGCATGAGAGGGATTATGGTAAAGCAAAAAGGGTAATCGCAAAAAGCGAAAAGGCAAATTTTACTGAACAAGCTGATTTGTCTAACAGATCCGTCAAAATGTTGTTTTCTTAACATTACGAAACAATGCATTTTGTCTTATACGTTTACATTCTTCTTTCCAAGTGTGATTCTCATGTTCACGGGTACATAACTTTCGTTTCTACTGTTAAATCATCAAGTCGTGGGAATTCATTAGTAATAAACTGACCTACGAAAGAACGTACACATCTGGCGTCTAATTTTCCAAAACAAACTGAACTAAATATTTTGAAAACTGCTTTGATTGTGATTTGCAAGGCCAAATATCGTTTACATGTTGCCAAAACAGCACATACATTCTTTACAGTTCTGTGTGTGGAATGAGGAAAATCATGATTTCGTTGAATCGCAAGTGCATTTGTGCTCCAACAGTATATGAAAGAGGCGATTGAGATTGTTAGTGGTAAACATGTTAAAAGCACACATTTCCAAATACCAACATTCTATAGAGCGGAGAACAAGCCGCTGGAATGTCGTAGATGGGGGCTTTGAGCAACCATGTTGCCAGAACGATCGGATGTACAATGCAGACCATCGCCAGACTACTGCGACTCTTCAGCCAGACTGGTCAGACATGTGAAGACCACCACGGATGCTCACAGTGACGTCATCAGCATCAACAGCGTTGGGTCATCGCATCAACACAGAACACACCGATAACACGTCAACATCGGCTGAATCGTCCACTTTGGGTTACAGTGTTTCCATGGCAACGTCGCAACTGGGTACGATATATGTTGTGTTATGAACACAATGTTTGCATATTTGCGACTTGTCAGTCACCATCGAAAAACTGTTCAAACTTTTTGCGTTTCCTTTGTACATCAGTCTATGTTCCATATCTATTGAACGATTTGACCAACGTTCAAATTGAACTTGTCGTCGCCCCTATTAAAGAATTCAGCTAACTCTGGTGTCATCAATCTGATGATCCTTCATGTAACTGAATGATGTGTTTAAACACGTTCAGTGTTGTCATTCGACATTTGACATTCCGAATATTGACCAGTGTGGCTCGATATCGCGCTTGGCATGTGTTTACGTATGGCCTGTCTACAAATTGAATTTGGAAAAGCATCAATATGTACTCTGGCCATCTTGAACACAACAGGCGCCAGCCGATAGTTCTATAGGCTATGTATCAGTGATGGTAACAGTCTCTGTCCATTATAGACCCCTGACCAGGAAAGGAACCTTAGACATTTCATCGCAGGATACCATACATGTAGCGTGTGCACAATGCTCATAAAGAGCCATTCCGCATCCAGACAGCACATGAGGGTATGGATGGCTTCTCTATTCTTATCATGCGCTGAAAACAATCCCAAGAGCTGTTCACCATGTGATCAAAAGCACTGTCTCATAAGACGCACTTTTTGTGAATGTGTGTTAATGCGATTGGGTCTAGACTTATTGATTACTGTTTACTTACAGAAAGAATTGAATCTGTCGGCATCATTGGCTGAGCACTATAAGGGTTTTAATGCCCCTGCAGACTTGACCAACAAACTATCAGCGGAAACGTCAAACAACAGACGTTAAGTGAGTGATTTACTTTAGTTTTACGCCGCTTTTAGCAATATTCCAGCAATATCCAGCAGGAAACTCCAGATATGGGCTTTACACATTGTACCCATGTGGGGAATCGAACCCGGGTCTTCATCGTGACGAGCAAACGCTTTAACCACTAGACTACCCCACTGCCCCCTGAAGTTGAGTATAAATTTACTGTCCATTCAAATATCATATACCATAAACTAGTGATGCAGTTAAATATGTCTACACGTTCCGTGTATATTATATGTGGAAATATACGTGCACTATCGAGAATAGAACAGCCTTTTCATACACAGTACAAGCTCACCATTACTGGACAATATCTTTCTATACTCCTGAAATATTACTGTTTATCGCAGAGAGTGTGTGTGTGGTTGTGGCCGGTGATTATGGTGGAATGACTTAATGGTGAAGTAGACCACTGGAAGAACATACACAAATATAGATGTGGCTATACATTCCTATTTAGTCCGACCATTCCTTGACCTATTTTCCAACCCCCAAATCCGCACAGGAAACAGAAGTATTGTAATTTCCCCGATCCCCAGTACGATGACCTCAGCAACTTTGGTTGCTGTCCGATTGTGTTCTGTGTAATTTAATAAGTAAATAATTCTTATGACCTCACTAGTTCTAAGTATAATCTGTGATAATCTAGTGGTTAAATAGTCCTTTGAGGACAGGTTTTTATACAGTATTAATATATATAACTCTACCCCAATGATGTGACGTAAACGTTTAACCCACTCTACCCCAATGATGTGACGTAAACGTTTAACCCTCTCTACCCCAATGATGTGACGTAAACGTTTAAGTCACTCTACCCCAATGATGTGACGTAAACGTTTAACCCACTCTTCTAATGATGTGACGTAAACGTTTAAGTCACTCTACCCCAATGATGTGACGTAAACGTTTAACCCACTCTACCCCAATGATGTGACGTAAACGTTTAAGTCACTCTACTCCAATGATGTGACGTAAACGTTTAAGTCACTCTACCCCAATGATGTGACGTAAACGTTTAAGTCACTCTACCCCGATTACGTGACGTAAACGTTTAACCCACTCTATCCCAATGATGTGACGTAAACGTTTAACCCACTCTACCCCAATGACGTGACGTAAACGTTTAACCCACTCTACCCCAATGATGTGACGTAAACGTTTAAGTCACTCTACTCCAATGACGTGACGTAAACGTTTAAGTCACTCTACCCCAATGATGTGACCTAAACGTTTAAGTCACTCTACCCCAGTGATGTCACGTAAACGTTTAACTCACTCTACCCGAATGATGTGACCTAAACGTTTAACTCACTATAACCGAATAATGTGAACTAAACGTTTAATTCACTCCACCCCAACGATGCGACCTAAACGTTTAACGCACTCTACCCAAATGATGTGATGCAAACAATATCGTATTTACATTCCATACAAAAGTAGCAAATATAATCACAATTATTAATATTTCAGAAAATCTCAGAAACAAACTAAGCTGTCAGAAACTATGAGTCCCCATAAGCCTTTCTTCCTCATTCTTCATGAGACTCTAACAAAAGAAGATACTCCGATTGTGTGAAATGTCAAGGCGACAGATGCTGATTTTCACGCCTTCGCAAATCCACGCTGCTATCGAGTGTGGTTTTACGGGTCTTATTGTCCGTCCATAAAATAAGTCAGTATTTAAACTGAAAACCAGAAGTCCAACAAAACATTTGCAGAAAGCCCCAACCTTTCAAAAGAATTTAATATGACTTAAATGTCAGGGTCGAGCTCTTCACGAAATAGCTAGTAATTATCTTCGTGATAGGGTACCGTTACTAATGGCGGCTAAATTAGTAACACCTTGCTTCGCACGACATTATCTCTAAGACTCGACAGACCTTCGATCATGTGCACCACCAGATCCGACGTCCTGAAGTCGTAAGTGAGCCTTGTGTGAAGACGACCATGCCCGCCATCCAGGGAAGACTGCTGCAGAACCACGTCTCGACGAGGATACAGATCTGGTCGGATAGCACCTGCAATAGGAGGAGTGAGTGAGTGAACTGAGATCTAAGCTTTTTCATGACAGTATGGCAAGATGAAGGAAGTGCTTTTACATACGTTAGACGTTACCTTAGAGAACGTGTCAATAATATCGAAAGGAAGTGATTAATTATTTAATGATTGTTTTCCTTGAAGACTATTCTGGTCAACCGAGGACAACCGTTAAGGTTAGAACAACAACACAGCTACAACACATGTTAACGAGACTATATTATTATGACATGCAATAGAGGCCTTCACTATTACTGAGTACGAACTAAGACTGTGTATTGGCAAATACATTGTATTGCAATATGCTACGATTCAGGTACCCGTATTTCGATACGTATTGCGATATATTGGGAACTTAAATGTTTGACAGTGAGTGACAATAATTGTGCATGCCAATCCTATTTCCTATATCATAATCATATATGTTATGATTCTGATAACAGCAGTCTCAGTATTAGGTTGCATAGTCAGGGATTCTACTTTCTTTTTTATGTAATTTTAGTATTTCAATATGACGTTTTGTCATTGAAAAACAAAGAAAAACATTTGTTGTGACTAAAAGTCTGTGTAGTTTTTAATTTAAACCATAAAGATAATCACAAAAAAACTTCATACATGTTCTTTACCCAATATACCAGTTGTCAGAAAAACATGTTGCAATACGTTTCGTTTGAAGAGCGTACTGCGATATACAGGTATACCGGTAAACCGGTAATACCGTGCAGTCCTACCAGTAGGTACACATATGTGTTATTCTGAAAGGCTAAGTCCCCAGATGAGTATAATGCCTGGGGACTAATACCTTGTGTACAGGTCAGATGACACCGATTCCATGGACACTGAATAAACAACCAAGAACATTAAGAGCAATCTGAAACGTGTTTGTCCGTAGCTGTTGATTGATGACCATCAATGATGGTTTTATGTGGTGTCTTTGATGTCCCAGTCGTGATGAAGTTACACGTTCACCATATACTACCTATAGATGAATACATCTGGGACTGATAAACTTTTTATTGTCTCCGTATGAACCAGGACAGTGTTGTCAGAATATTGATTCAGTTGAGCTTCATTCGATTGGTTTTGTATTAATATATGAATTTGTGGGTGTCAGTTAAATTGTTTTACCAAAGTTGGCTTCAAACACCAGACTGTCAACGCTGGCGTCGCTCTTAGCACTAAGGCTGCTGGTATCGTCGGTGAATTGCTCACTGCGCAGACTTCCTCGTGACGTAGTCGACATTGATGCAGATCGAGGCTGTACCGGCCGATTCTCTTTGGTGATAGAAATTTCCTGAATAATTGAAATATACATTATGATTGGTATAGGAACATTTATCAAACGGAGGATTTCGTATTCGGACGGTGGAGTGGTCCTGGATGATATTACGTGCTGAAGAACCAAGAATAATGCTCAAGACGAATCTTGGATTTGAACCCAGTCATGGGTTTCTGGCATACATCCTAGACTAACGCTTAGTCTCTGAATATATATAATTTCGATGGTAACAAACAAGCCCATTTAAATTGAAAAGGAGCCCCAGGGAGACCAGAGATTCAGAACCTGAGGAAATCTAGACTTGTTTCATTTAGAGCTTTAGCACTGCAGATAGGGCTTGGCAGTAGGGAAAATAATGTGGTTCGGGGACTGTGAGACAGACTACATACATCCCTACAGTGCGAATTGAGGCGCCATTGCAAGCCAGCTTGAAGGACTGCCAACACTCAATGTACCGATAATGCACGTTTTTAAGTCTGTATGTTTGTGGCTTTTGACTCATCGTGCAAGTTGTTTGGTTGGTTTGTTATTCATTTTAGCATTTATCCACGTACTTGTGTTAGACGGTAGTGTAGTGTTAAAGGAAGTGGTCAATGGTACGCTGTAACATTTAGCAGAAGTTCACAAGATTGTGCCTTAACGATAACTACTTGTCAGGAATGTATTATCTAATGTAATGCAATACAGAGGAAGTTTACGATATCTTGATGCTCTTTAGACTACGAATCTGGAATCTTCCAGAACAGCGTCAGACTAATCCTTCATTGTATGGGTTTTACTGATGACGTCAGTGGTGAACGCACATGTCCTAACTCTTATTTTAATCTTGTTTTTCCTGATGTCGACAGTTCGTAATTTCAGGGTGATTATCTGGAAAATTCACACCTGAGAATTCACACCTGTATTTCAAAAAGGAGATGTGTCAAGGTCTTCACGGTACTGATGCTCTTGTGGAGCCAGCAAAATATGGACTGTTATCAATCAGAAGAGCCACGGCTTATCATTCAACGGTTAATCCTAGCGCTTAATGGGAAAATTCCCGTGTTTTGGGTGTAGATCACATGTTTGTGTCTGGCACAGGGTGGGGGCCATAGCCTAGGGGATATTCACATCAATGCCTGACAAGAGCGTTAATGAAACATATCGCGATATCCTTGACAACCATCTCTGGGTCGATTTAGCAGGACAGTTTACCATCAATTCATACCGATTCAAGGAAGATAATGTCCTTGTTTATCACGGACTCGGACGTAGCATTGTACAACGTTCAGGCAGCTTGCAAAACAATTTGACGAGGACACTAGCCAAGGGTCAAGTTAAATATCTGTGCCTGTGGATCGGCAAGTTAAGAGGATGTACATGACCTAAATATGTCCGAATTGTTAAATCTGACCCTGCACTAATTAACGCAAAGACAGGCGATAACTCCAAACGAACTTCACTTCTCAAAGTCATGGGTTTGAGTAGTCTCCCTTTGATAAAGGGAGATTACTCTATGGTGATTACAAGTCGACTGATGATTAAGCAGGTAAAAACAATATGTGTGGGCAATTGGTATTTTCGTTATAAGTATTGACCTCATTGTCTTATAAACAGGTTTCAGCTAGAACTATATCCATTGTTGCCACTGTCCGAATGACTGATCATTGATCCTCTGACGATTTATGTTCACATTCCCAGAAAACTTGCAATGTTTAGGTAATGTTTGTGAGAAATGAAAACGCCAGGTTTTTAGACGACAGCATTATGGAATGACGTTTTAGAATAAAGAGGTTTCACGCTTGTTTGATTTAGGGTGAAAAATTTTCTTAACTTGAGAATATACACTTTGTATTTAGCGAACCTGGAATATTCCCCAAACAGGATATATTGATGCCACCCTGAAACACACTCGCGTAATAAACTCTACGTCTGAAAATGCCAGCCGCGTTTATACGCTTATGCAGCTGAGCATGAATGTCAATAAAAACGTGGACAAAAGACGCGACTGAATACGGTATATATAAGAAAGTATGTATGTTGCATCATATCAATATTCCAGGCTTGTGACGGCGGTATGTAAATAATCTAGTCTGAATGAGACAATCCAGTGATGCATATAATGAATAATGATCTACTCTATTGCTACACGACAATAAGCCACAGCTATGTTAGTGAGCCTGACCACTGATCCCGTTAGTCGCATCTTAATTATAATACTGATCTTCTTTGGGTAACAGATAATGGAAAATTGGTGCCACGATTATTGAATGCAATGTAATTGATAGTGGTCAATAGCTGCACCATTGAACACAGTGTAGTTGATAGTGGATAATAGCTGGGAAGGGTACTGAAAGCAGTCACCTGTAGTCTCCTCCTTGGTCATCTGATTCTTTACTCACACGTTACAGAATTTCTGCTGGGATTGAGTGAGTGAGTTTAGTTTTACGCCACACTCAGCAATATTCCAGTTATATGGCGGTGGTCTGTAAATAATCGAGTCTGGACCAGACAATCCAGTGATCAACACCATGAGCATCGATCTGCGCAATTGGGAACCGATGATATGTGTCAACCAAGTCAGCGAGCCTGACCACCCTTTTCCCGTTAGTCGCCTCTTACGACAAGCATAGTCGCCTTTCGTGGCAAGCATGGGTTGCTGAAGACCTATTCTACCCCGGATCTTCACGGGTCTGCTGGGATTGACAAAAACAGAAGCAATGGTAAATGCAAACAGGTTTGTGTTTAGCTTCAAGTCTACCAATAAAATTAAAACTAAAACGCCAATATCGTTCAGTGATGATCAATGAAATCGTCTTCAGGTGATATACCCCCTGAACTGGAATACCAGCCACCAGCGAAACCGATTCATCTGTTTCATGTTTCATGCTTAGATCCATGCATACAGGTTCAGAATGACAATAACTGTCGACAAGATTGCATACAGGAGCGATGACATCATCTCGCCATTTTACAGGACCTCCAGCCCCATTTCACAAGTTCAAATTACGCTCTTTCTACGAAGAAGTCATATCACCCCGTCAAGTACGGGTACAGTGGTGACGTGTCATCAGCCGGTCGTTTCGGCTGGTTCCCATGGTAACATCTGGAACTGGTCATTTGTAACGTCATTCCGACTTAACGTCACAATATGAATTGAATGACGTCACCACTGCTGACTACGCAACAATACTATTGTATGCGATATTTGTACGTATTAATAAGCACCGAATAGTCTTGCAATTTCAGTTAATCAAATACCATTGGAATCGAAAACCATTCGATCATGTTTTTCAACCAATCAGATTAAAGAACGGAGTGACTTTGGGTTTACAATTCACTATATTCCCGTTCCGTTTGGTTTGTAGGTGAACAATTAATCTGCATGTACATGCGTTTGAGATGGTGCTACTCGTGGACACGCAAAACTTTATTGTAGTTGCAATTGGAATCTTATACCGGTTATTTATATATTCTTACCGTTATGGAAGAGATGTGGTTTATTTAAAACAAAATTAATAGTGCCTGCTTGCGAATAGAAGCAAATCTGGTGTGACACATTGTAGACAATAGATTTGCAAAAAGTATACAATTAAGAGTAACTCTTTGTAGTTAGCAGTTACAAAAAAGAACTCCATGCAGAGTATCGAGCAGTAGTTAAGAATAGTCATACTAGTTTTAGACATTAAATCAGTGATCATGAATTAGTTAATACCACAGAAACTACTTGTACCAGCGGCCTTAACGTCAAACTGTTGAAGGTGTTGCTAAGGATAATATTAAGGTGAACCAAAACGTTTCCTGGAGGTGAGTTTACAAACGGCACGAGTCAACCAGAAACTCTGTACTATATGAATGTAATCATTTCCTGGGAATTATATTTTCTACCAGTGATGGAAACGTATGGCAGCAATAAATAATATTTTGCAAATCTCCATATTCAAACATTTCCCACCCTATATTGCACCTATCTTGGATGTAACGTTAATGCGGAACCAAGGAAACTATAATCACACTGGAAAGTTGGATTTGATAAAAAGAATAATTCGTTTTAATAACCGGACTAGTCTAAAAAAGATGAAACGATGCAAATTTAATGTCACCGTCGAAAAACCATTTGTTATTAAACATCCTGTATGTTATTTATTGTCTTTTATTTCGCCCGGCAGTTTCTCAACTCTCTCAATTAACGTTCATCTTAATCTGAACTGTTATTGACGTTATTGTGACTTCCAAGACGAAGACAGCTATTGCTGTTTCAGATTAATGGCGACCAAGGTGATAACCTTAAAATAACCAGCATTCTGTAACAGCCTCTCTCACCGCCTGAATGCAATAAGGCAGAAACTGAAGCTATTCTTCAATCTCACAATGACAAAACAGATTATCACATTGTGCTTCTCTGGATGGTGGCCTTGTTGCAGAGACAGACAATTTCCTTGAAATGTCGTCTTGAATCTAAACATCGTCAGCATTAGAGAAGAGAAAGTTTATACACAGGAAGTTCCCAGGAAGTTACCAGGCGGTCCGCCGCCTATCACGTGACCTTTACCGACGTGCCAGTGATATAATACGTAGAGACAGGAGATCAGCATCGTGATGGCATCTAAATCGAATTCATTGTAAATGAACACGAAAAACTATCAACTGTTTGGTGCTAGCACATTGCATCACAAGTTGCTTCGTCTGAAAACGACAGTGACTAGAACAATCGATGTTCACCAGGAAATTAAACCGCGGATCATCTTTAATGTCGTTCCTGTCCGTTCAATTTCATTTTAAACGGCTCATCAGGAAGGGACTTCCTCCCTTTCCTCTACAGGCTGCTTCAAATACCATTGTCAACTGGTTTTCAGGTGATCTTTTTCCACATAGAACATGTGTTTAAATCCTGGAAAACAGGCCTTACATGTCTTACAGTAAGCGAATGTTGCAATCAGCAATACATTATATATGACATGGCCGTATGTGCTCTTATCTTCTGGGCGAACGAGTGGTTGATAGAATTAGGTTGTGATACGATGGCAGGTTGAAATGTATAACGTCTCGAGTAACCGACGCGGTGTAAATTATACGACCAATCATTGAAAATCAGTGATGACACCAGCTGTTCGAAAAATGACTAACCATCTCCTACCCTAGAGGTAGCACCCGTCATCCTTACAGTTTGAAGAACAAGGTTTTAATTTACTGTCACCTGACCAATGACGCCCACAACAGTCGTTTCTTCAGATATGCATGGGATGACTCGGGACCTAATTCTGCCCCATGTTCCTGAGTCACGGGGCCTACTCTGCCCCATGTTCCTGAGTCACGAGGCCTACTCTACCCTACGCTCTTGTGTGACGGGGGCCTATTCTGTCCCATGTAAATGTGTGACGGGGCCTATTCTGTCCCAAGTTTCTGGGTGACAGGGTCCTATTCTGTCCCATGTTTCTGGGTGACGGGGGCCTATTCTGTCCCATGTTTCTGGGTGACGGGGCCTACTCTGTCCCATGTACCTGTATCACGGGGCCTACTCTACTCCATGTTCCTGTGGGACGGGGCCTACTCTACCCCCGCGTTCTTTGGTCACGGGACCTATTTCTGTCCCATGTTCCTCTGTTGCGGGGCCTACTCTGTCCCACCTTTCTGTGGAACTTGATTGTCGCTGTTATTCTTACAACGATCCAAACACTCCAAGTATTCCGACTAACCGAAATAATCATAGATTGATCCAAAGTTCCAAACACAATTTTCCATAATCGAACCCAAAGAAGTTTACCCTGAGATATTATGATCCATGTGAGAACGAGTTTCTTCATATAATAAAGATTGAATTTTCAAGACTATTTCACTTAAAGCAATGAGCATGCACGTGTGTGTGTGGCTGCTAGGCAGGACGTATGGCTGTTGTAAAGAGCTAGTCCACAACATGGCTTACAATGTATACTCCACTACTTAGACGCAGTGTCCTTAATCCGACCTAACAGGTGCTTGTTTCTTACCCGTTTTTCAAGAAAGATCTTGAAAGCACGATTGTGCTACTCCAGACTCGGTTATCTACTCCTTAATACTGTTGAATACAGCTGAACGAGTTACGCAATACATCGTACCGCTCAAACCCCTCTCACCGATATATATCACATTATTCATGTTATGCACGTGCATTATAACGGTATATATTTACTTCAATGGATCTAAAACGATATCCAATTTGCCACGGACCTCTGCTTACAACCGTTACGGATAAAAAGTACTGCTATTTGCGTCTACACGAAATTGATTTACAATACGCGTACGTTCCGTACATAGGAAGGCAACTGGAATTAGTACCCCCGAGCTGAACATAGAATATTTAGATTTCCCTCTTGAGCCCGCGATACCATATTTTTCAGAATAAAATACCTTGTCAATGTTCATTAGGGTTAGAAAGTGACAGCTGGTTGGACAGACCGCTCGGGATAACCATATTACACCGCCCACGCCAACAGTAAATCTGCCTTGTGAAGTTATCGTGTGCTGAAACGCCGTCTTAGCCACAGACATTCTACATCATGAAATGCCATGCACTTGATGATGTTAATGGTTGTTGATATGGTAATTCCGTTATTTTGCTGCCGCTTTTATTAGGATTTAGTTCTCATTGAAATTCCACATTTAGAGTTGGTCGTGAGAGCCAGCTGAAATTGGTCTAGAACGGTTACATGGTTTGACCTAGCAGAGGGCGTGTCATCCTATCAGTATGCCTTCTGTGTTGAATGTGGTACCAGCGACAAGGTTGTCAAGTCCAGACTAGAATGCTTCTTGGTTTTTGTTGAAAATTACCATCTCTAATTGCTGCTTGATTAAATAAAACGCAATCATCATATTAGTTTAAAATAGACATATGAGTGAAATGGCAGAAGTTAATACCACGACCAGGAAGTCTGGTGTTGTTTGAAAAACACCTAAACACAGTCGACATGGCGCAGCAATCAGCCTCTCAATCCGCGACAGAGGACCGCAGAAAGGAAACTGACTATCGTAAAAGTTTACAAATTGCGTGAGCCGTCACAAGGGTTAGTTTTACTGTCAAAATGTTACATGGGGTCGTGCAAGATCCAATTGTGGACAACGAAGTGCACGACAACCACCAATAAATGAGAAAAGAACCAGGTTTCAATAAATACGACATATATCACTGGTTCATTCTTGCAACAAATCTCTAAATTAGATCTATAGATAGGTAGGCTGAGACGAGGCGGATAATGGTATTACATGGCGAGTACAAATAGAGCATTGTGTCTGTGAGATGGACATGTGGTTTCTGTAACACGAAAACATTATGAAATGCATATGAACGACATGGCATAAAATGACATATGAACTATCGTGAGGGCTGGACTGACATACAGATAGACTTTACGCGATACAGTAGAGCGATACAGTGGAGAGACTGATGACCCCTAAACACTGGTTATAGACCATCACTGTGTAGTTGTTCTCGTTATTGCAAATTCATGCAATAACAGTAAATGGAAAGTACATCCAATCTGGTGTGTCTCTAAGCCAGGTTATTGTCTTTAGATGTCACAGTGCAGGTAATCGGCAATGCGTGCGCAGATTTTGCAGAACAGTGTTTCTTGCGGCCTGGGTGAAGAGATCGTTGCTTTGTTTCGTTCTGCTTTTAATTTACACTGTCGAGGAATTAAAGCAGGTTGTTTTAAACTAGTATTCCATTAGAGTTATTGTTTCGTGTAAGGCGGTCAGACAAAGAAAGCTATAATTCCAAAACTTCGTAAACGTGTACAGATTCTGAATCAAATGAAAATAAGGTTAAGGTATCGTGGATCACAAGGGCAAATTCTGTCAGGTGACAAGATGAATTTCTATTGTATGCGCGCGCGTACGTACGTGCGTACGTGAGTGTGTATGTTTTTGACGGGTGTGACGTGGCGTGATAAGCTCACCTTCTCGCGAACACCTAGAGTCACTATTTCATAGTGATGAATAAACACAATCTTCTTTTAGTAGATTATTCTTATGATTATAACGCCGCACTCAGCAATATTACAGCTATATTCCCATGTGAATAATCGAGTCTGGACCAGAACATCCTGTGATCAACATCACGTGCATCGATCTACGCAATTGGGATTCGATGGCGTATGTCAACAAAGTGAGCTTGACCATCCGATCCCGTTAGTAGCCTCTTACGGCAAGCATGGGTTGATGAAGACCAATTCGAATCCGCATCTTCACGGATACTAAGTTTTAAATCTACAGCGATTTAAAAGAATACGATGGTCGGTGTATGATGAGTTGCATGAGCTCAAGATCTGATTTCAAAATGTACAAACGATGTATTTTGTAATGTTATAATTCCTACCTGAGATCCTGACGTTAAAGACAACAAAGATGGCGGTTTGCACTCTCCAACAGCCTCGTATCCGCTGTGGCTTGAAATACAGGACGTTGCTCTGTGTCGTTTACGGTAAAGTATGTAAACGATAATGATGACGACAGCTACAGCTACCACAGAGACTCCGCACACCGCACCCAGGAGCAGCGGGGAAACCATGGCAACGCGGACACCAAAATCTGAAGCAGAAATTAAACGAGTTAAATGACATTGTCCGTGAACCCAAAAGTGTACCAAGACCACAGTCTTCCTTTTCATAAATGCGTTTGAAATAGACATATTCCTATGAAATAACAAATTTACATTATGATTGTCTTTCCCAAGTATGTCTGAAAAATGTATCCCTGGAAACTAAAACCAAATGCATCACAGACATATCAAGCATTATCCATATTCACACCCAAATCAGTTAGTTAATGCTAAGAATTTAAGAGTGACACTTGACACTGTAAAGCCAAATATTCATTTGTTGTAAATGTCCACATTCTTTCTCTCACATTCGTATCTTCTCATAATAGCCAACAGATAATATATAGGTATGACGAATGTTTGTATGTCATTGGAAAGAGAAAAGGTCATATAAGGCAGGCATGTAGAAATTTATTATTAAGTATTATTATTTGCACTAAAGTCCAAATTTAAACATGTATTGAATCACAGAATGGTTGATTCGGGATTGTCTGCCATGTTGTTTTGAATATTCTACTCCATTCTCCTAAACTGAACAAGCGGCATACAACTGTAAAACAATGTGTAATTAATTAATACACACACACACACACACACACACACACACACACATATATATATATATATATATATATATATATATATATATATATATACAATATTTGAAATTTACTCCAGCGTTAAACTAGTTTCCTGCATGTTTTAACAAACCAAAACACGCATTACCTTGTCATGCGTTTAAAGCAAAAAGCTGTCACTAATATTTGTTCAGCAGAGTTGTGACTCTACCGCTTGCGTGCGTAACCAATACACTATCTCAAGTGTATAATCCGGCTAATGAAACAATCACCAACAATGGCAAGTCCACCCGACTGTAGCCCACCCACGTAATAAGTCCTTCCACAAACTGTTATTTCAGTCACTCACGGCCTCTTATCGACCATGATTTGTGGCAATATAAAGCGCTAGAGTTCCGATATAGCTGCGCAGCTGACAGCATCTGCCTTAACGGCCAATGAATTAGTGAAAACACATCACCGCCATCTCCCCCATCACAACAATAGATGCAATATTTACACAACAGGCATCAAACTAGAGTTTGATATGTTTGTTCTAAAACATCGCATCTCATCGACACTGAACCCTTCTGGGAAGCAAATGTAGAACAATCGATATAAATGATTGATTCTTACATTGGCCGATCTTTGTGGACTCCTGTGTGGAGCCTCCCGGCAAAGCGGGGGTGGACATGACCTGAGATTCGTTTGACTTTACCTCCTGCAGAAGCTGGTATTGTTATCGCAGTTGTTTGCCATTCGCCGAATCTCCCTTCACCTGCCACGTTTCTGGGTGATTTCAAACAGATAACGCGTTTCCAGAAATACACGCTAACAGAAGGGGATCCTCGCCGCTAATCCGACAGCTTCCGTCCATAGTAATAAGCGTGTCAGAACCATGATGTACCAAATATAGCCCCAACTGATGATTGGTATTCACTTGAGGGTGTGCAAGCTCCACTAACTCAGGAAGGAGCATGCTCCAGTCAGTCACAGGGCGTCGAGCTCGTTATTGAGCAGAACAATCTGGTCTGGCTGCAGACATATTTTCGTCGATGTGCCATCACATTTGGCCTCAAATATAGGATGGCCTCGAAGAAAAACCTTTCCAAACTATGAATTATCATTCACTGTGAAAGAATACCAAAATGTTTAAAAGAGAGTCGCATCCAATTACCTCCCTGTGTCCTGGTTATTTAGGAACTACTGGTCTTTGACCTGTCAATCAATACATTATTTTATTCCTGACTGATATTTGGCACCTTGTGTTGTTATTCTTCATCAAATATTCTCATATCATCTCTATTCTTGGACGGCAAGTTCAAATGATCAAACATCTGCAATGGAGTACGAATGTTGACTGAATATGTGGAAGTTTCAAAAGCAAATGTTCTTTAAAAGAATTTTCGAATCTAACATTGAATAGATTTACGTCACACACCATGCTCGTCTCACATAGTACCAATGTCGATCACACGTTCATGGAACCGTCACGGAGCAAAACTGTTAATCACACGTTCGTGCATCTCTCATGTACTGATGTTAAAGACTGGTCCATACAACCCTCACAGGGTGTTCGCGTTAACCCATGACCATGCATCTCTCATGTACTGATGTTAAAGACTGGTCCATACAACCCTCACAGGGTGTTCGCGTTAACTCATGACCGTGCATCTCTCATATACTGATGTTAAAGACTGGTCCATACAACCCTCACAGGGTGTTCGCGTTAACCCATGACCATGCATCTCTCATGTACTGATGTTAAAGACTGGTCCATACAACCCTCACAGGGTGTTCGCGTTAACCCATGACCATGCATCTCTCATGTACTGATGTTAAAGACTGCGGGTCCTTGCAACCCTCACAGAGTGTTCGCGTTAACTCATGACCGTGCATCTCTCATGTACTGATGTTAAAGACTGGTCCATACAACCCTCACAGGGTGTTCGCGTTAACCCATGACCATGCATCTCTCATGTACTGATGTTAAAGACTGGTCCATACAACCCTCACAGGGTGTTCGCGTTAACCCATGACCATGCGTCTCTCATGTACTGATGTTAAAGACTGGTCCATACAACCCTCACAGGGTGTTCGCGTTAACCCATGACCATGCATCTCTCATGTACTGATGTTAAAGACTGGTCCATACAACCCTCACAGGGTGTTCGCGTTAACCCATGACCATGCATCTCTCATGTACTGATGTTAAAGATTGGTCCATACAACCCTCACAGGGTGTTCGCGTTAACCCATGACCGTGCATCTCCAACCCAAAGCTACTGCACAGCTCTATGTAAGGCACTGTTATACATACTCACACCGTATCCGTGGTAACCGTACTTCCACGTAGTCCATTTACAGTACATATAGCATGGTTTTAATACCTAGATAGAGACCCACTAGGATTTTGGGTCAGATTTGGTGAAAGCCACTAAATGGATGAGTTGGAAATTTCAGTGACTTTGTTGATTGCTTGTCACCATTCGTAACTACTTGCGTCATTCCGGCAAGCCGGATGGTCTTCTTGTAGGTCACGGAAAGAGGCGAGTAGTTACGAATGGCCTGTCCCTATAACTAAACAACGTTGGCCATGATATTAATCCTTGATTTGTGTGCTTCAGACTCGATAGTCAGTCAACGCGACAAAGCCTGAATATTGTTGAGTGGGGCCTTTAATCACCAAACACACACAACGATGGTTCAGTGTGCGACAGAAGTGTGTGTGTGTGTGTGTGTGTGTGTGTGTGTGTGTGTGTGTGTGTGTGTGTGTGTGTGAGTGTGTGTGTGTGAGTGTGTGTGTGTGAGTGAGACCTTAGCTGGTACATAATATGATTTGGCTGATGACGTTACGTACGTTGAAATTGTATAAGTCATTATGGAATGGATTGCTTCCATTTCCTCCACACTTAACGTCATGTATATTTGCACCAACAACATATTTGCACAACCCAGTAACAAAGTGAAATGTTTGGCTGCAGTTTCTGGTTCAAGGAAACAGGAAATATCACGCAACCCTGACTTTAATTCGTACCAACCTCTTTCTTGCTAAATATAAACAGAGTTCCGCAGGACTTTTCACGTTTGTAATGCTATGAGATGCTGGACATTTATGTACAATCATCTGCTTCACTCGCTCCCCCTAACAGGGAAGACTTAATTAAGTCCCCCTTGGCGCCAGCTGGGCGCCAGCGCCGTAACGTATGATTGCCGTCAATTTGTCAATTGTAGTCATGTTTTTCTGAAGACAAGGTTACTTTTCTTCAAAGCAGGTTCGTATGCATGGTTACGACCAAAGCTGTGTATCAGGTTTTTTACCAAATTTTCAAAACAAAACTGCGTGCAGTTATATTCTGCTGGGTGATCAGATATTATGAGAATTTTATATTTCACAATCAGAAAACATCATTGGAATATCAACCATGCCAATATATTTACTGTAATGCTGACACAATTTTACGTACATACCGAGCATATTTCTACCGTTAGAAAATGCATTTTGTTGAATCAGTTTAGTTTTCAAATACATGACATGATCTTTTCTCGGTCATTTCTTGTTCTGAGTATAATACTCAATGCAATGCATCTTGTTTGACAAAATAAAATATAAAACAACGTGACAATGCTGCTGCTGAGCATTATAATTACTACAACAGTAAATTGTTAATTATATGAGCGTTACTGCTATAATCATCAAAAGTGTTCTAGCAGACATTTGTCCTGAGTCCTTGTCACGTCATGTCATAGGTTCAGCGACAGTTTAGTCCTTGTATGTATTACTGGCAATAACGGAACATAATAGGTGACTAATAATTACCCAAACCAGCATGGCTCAGCGTCTGATTTCTCTCAACGTTGCACCACGAGGAAGTCAGGTAATGGTGAACTGTTGTAATGCTAACTACTGCATGAACCCACTCACCAGATGTAGCTGTTAGATGCAGTCACCTAACACCGTGCCGATTGGATAACTACTGCCACCTATGAGGCCTTTGGAATTCAACTCCAGTTTCAACTTTAACTTTAAAAAGTATGTCAGCGAAATGTCAGCTGAGGTTTCAATTATCAACATATGAGAAATGAATATAACACGTCAGCACTTCGAGTATCCACTGGGAGCAAAAGGAAAACAGTGGTAAGAATTGGACCACTGAAAGTCAGGGATGACACCGGGTGTTAAGAAAAGTATGTCCTCTACAGGACGCAACTGCTAGTCTCATGCGGTGTTTCCTAACGGAATACAGTAGTTTGTGAGTATCTATTTGGTAGAACAATTCACTTATTAAAGATTGTGCGCATATACTACGAATACATGACTGCTGGTAGGATCTCAAGTTCATTTGATACAAAACAAAACTATATATAATATAGGTGTGGGGATAACTGATAACAGCTGTCTGTGTCTTTGTTATGAAGAACAAAATGATGCATGGTTATATGACTGTACCAATAATGTGTGCAATGAACAGGACAATGGTCACGAGTCTGCAAGTAGGTCACGCTTCAAATAATGTGACTTACATATAAATATATAGCATGGTTACTCAATTGGTGCTGTTGAAGCAAAGCTGTCGTGCGTATGTATGCCTATCAAGCGCCTTTGAGCAGTTGTACTGGATATCGGCGCTATACAAATGCTTGTATGTGTGTGTGTATGTATGTATCATAGTGATATACTCTACCCTTCTTTATATTAAGTAGTAAGTTTTAATCGATCAAACTGTACGTATATCAGACTATTTAGCTTCACAAACATAATCGTATGTTGAATCATTCGATACAGTTCAACCAATGCATAAAATTAGGGAGAAGTCTAATCCAATGGCATCTGCTATCCATGTGATGTGGGTGTGCATGTACTGATCAATGTATGTACACAATGGCGGGTTAACGTTGCGTGTTCTGGGAGCAGGACAGTAACATCTGTCGCCCTGTGTCAGGCTGGAATATACAACATACGGCGAAGCAGTAAACGGGATGTTTGCCCTCCAGGTTGCCCCACTGACCTATATGGACTCTGTACGGTACAGCATCACTACTGCTTTACCCTACACTGTAAATCATATCACAAAACCTCAATGGTAACGCATTACACAGGACCCAAATGTCCCGTTCACTATACCTTGCAAAGCAGAACGTAGGACTCTCACATACCCTACAATATATGGTGGGCACAACATTAGGCTGAAGTGTACTCAACACTGTACAGTAAAGTATTACACGGGTCCCAGACGCCATCATCATTGTACCATACACAATGGTCTCAAACGTCATCATCACTGTACCATAAAGTATTACACATGTCTCAAATGTCATCTACACCATACAATAAGGTATTACAGTGGTGACGTCATGATCATTGTCCAGTGAAGTATTACACTGATCTCAAATGTCATCGTCATTTTACCATAAAGTATTACACTGATCTCAACTCATTGTACTCAAATGTCATCATCATTGTACCATAAAGTATTACACTGACCTCAAATGTCATCATCATTGTACCATAAAGTATTACACTGATCTCAAATGTCATCATCATTGTACCATAAAGTATTACACTGATCTCAAATGTCATCATCATTGTACCATAAAGTATTACACTGATCTCAAATGTCATCATCATTGTACCATAAAGTATTACACTGATCTCAAATGTCATCATCATTGTACCATAAAGTATTACACTGATCTCAAATGTCATCATCATTGTACCATAAAGTATTATACAGGTCAAACTATAATCCACACTGTAAATGAAGTATTACACAAGTCTCAAATATTCGCTTCCCTATATAGTAACGCACCAAACCGGTCTCAAATGCTATCATCACTGTACAATAAAGTATTACACAGGTCTCAAATGTCATCTACTTTTACAATAAAGTATTACACAGGTATCAAACGTCTTCTTTCCTACAACGTAACACACCAACAAGGTCTGAAATGCCACCAACTCTGTACAATACAGTATTACACAAGTCTCAAATGTCGTCTACACCATGCGGTAAAGTAGTACACAATTCACAAATGACACAAGCATTTACAATAACGTATTACACAGGTATCAAACGTCATCTTTCCTATAACGTAATGCACCAACAAGATATCTAATGCCATCAACTCTATGCAATAAAGTATTACACCGGTCTCAAATGTCGCCTACACCATACGGTAACAGTGTACACAAGTCTCAGATGGCATCTGAACCATTCGATGTAACGTTGAACAGGTCTCAAATGGCAGATACGCTATTTGCTAAACCACATGTCTCAAATACAGATAACCCTACACGAGACCAAAGGTCCTGCAAACCATACAGTAAAGCATTCCATAGGTCTACATTTGTCAGGATCATTGACCTAGAGACATATGTGTCAGAGTATTGGTACAATTATTGTCAATTGCATATACATTGTGTATATCATTTAGGTGGACATTGTTTTTCTATGATAAACATGTCTCATATGGCAATCCATTATTCCTCGAGATTTTACATTATTTGTCCAAGATTTCCACGTTATAAAAGAAGTTTCCCAAATAGAATGATCTAAAATATGTTTTGTATTTTAACAGTTCGTTCACAATGCATATGTGCGTCTCTAATGTCTACAGATAATTCACACGTCAGAACTTGTTAGTCAACCTATCGGAACATGGCCGTTTGGTATTTAGCTGCACTGCTGAATGTTGGAGAATTATATATTACTGTCAACAACCATATCGAATAAAGTGCAGTGCTAAAGATAGCGATGTGACATGCCCTATGGTTTGTATTCCCTTCAGTGGGAGACTGTTCTTTGCGCACAGCCACACCATAACGAAGCATTACTCGCGCCAAACACCTGCTGTCAAATTGAAGCCTAGCCCACGTCTTATTTCAACAAACTGGGGCAACAGATCCGACAAGCCTATCTACTGGATTCAGATAAACAAAACACTTACCCTAGTTGTTTCACAATGAGGGGAGAGGATCGACACTTTAGGTATCCCCATGCTTGAAATGTTTGTATGGTACACGTATGTCAGCCCTCTCTCGGTGTATCATGGCCGAGCACTGTGTCCCGTCCCAGTGTGTATGTATGTTAAAACCGATCAATAATGACAACTGGTTACGATTTTGCAACTGTTGGTCTATCGTATAACAATGTGTATTGACTGTTTCTCATCAGATGTGATGTTTAGTCAAGCATAGAATTGTCAAATTAGGTTATTTAACAATGACCCCTTTGTGCACCTTGTTGGCGCTTGTTAAAAGGTCATTATTGTCAAACGATTTACTGGCTGGCATTTTGATAATGGTCTTTGTGTTTCACATTCCTAACAACATGCCGAACTCACACTGACGTCATTTCAAGCATACCATGTAAATATATTTTTGGTATGGCATTGGTCAATGCATCTGGTTGCCATGGGACTTTGGGGCAACGGCCTTGCTGCTCTTAACATGAGAAAGAGCTATGGTCAAAGGTCATGTTTATTGATTATCCGTGGATTAGCCCAATCCCTGTTTGGCTCAGTGGGGACTTGTTTACGAGTTACAGTTCTAAAATGTGGCCAGTATCCTCAAAAGTACCACATTCGCGTCCTTGTAGGGCAATCGATGTTATTATGTTGAGAGAAATAACCAAAAATAGCCATCGTTTTGATCCAAACATATTGCGGTCCAGAATAAGTGCTTAATGATTAGTTTCTTCAACCACAATGTCGCTATCAGGAGTAAAATGTTTCGTTTGATGTGTAGTGAATTTATCTGACGTTAACCAGACCTCTGTTCTCTGCAATCGTGGAGAATGTCTTGCGTTTTCCCTGATTACAATGTGTAGGTTACGAGGAAACTATATGTGTTGTCTTCTCAAAACGTCCAGTTGTCACCTTTCATAAACATTTGTATTTTGTATGATCTGTTCTGTCAAAACTGACACCACTTCTGTGCGACTGGAGTAGCCAGTGGCAAAATGTAATTCTACCATGTGCTTTGTATGGTTGTAATGTTTGGTGTGAGTTATCTCCCAAAGAATATGATATGCTGGAATTAGTACAAAAATATTTCTGCAAAATGGTTCAAGGTCAAAACAAACGATCCAGCTCAGTTATTGCCAGAAGCTGTTTGGGACTCATTTCTATGCAGCCATACATAGAGCAGCAAACCCTCATATTCCTCGGGAGATTAATACGTGCTGATATCAGTTTTATCTTTAAGAAAATGTTTTGTTATAGATTTACACAGTTCATGTGTGATGACGCTCCTTCATTACGTCTAAAGTGTAAGACCTCACCCATCTTTCATATGTTGGCTTTGGTTAGAAAATATAGAATATATGACTTAAATATGTACCTGGAAACTTCTGTATTTCCCAGTAAACAACTATGGGCACATCAGGTTAAAACAGCTATTCATGAAGCAGACACCAAATGTATTATTTCAGAACTCTCTACAAGAGCAGCGCTAGCACGGTATAACCTTACCTATGAAAATTGTCCGAGCAGGTTGTGGTGTCTTGCCTTAGAAAAGCATCTGTGCTTCTTTGATATTGCAGTTCTATTACACATCGGTACTTACGTAATTCAATCTCATGAATGTCTCTGTGGTACGTTTGCCTTTGACATTGTTAAACATGTATTTCTTTATTGTAAAGAAACGCAGTATGAAAGAGACAGACTAACTGAAGATTTAATCGACATTCTTGATGTAGAAACGTTTAGTAACCTTTGGAATAATGATGACGATATATTACTCTGTTTTCTACTTGGGGGTCGCCCTATTCAGTGCACGAAGGACCTCGACTATGAAACATGGACAAGGTGCATAAGCCGAATATGCAGAACTATTAAGTTGTGGAAACGATATTTCTATGAATGTGTATATTTCTGACATGTGTAAATACCATACACATAATACCATATGTGTATATCCATATAATACCATATTGATTTACTTGTTGTAATGTACCTGTAAACCTTGTATTTATCTTCATATGCTATGGAGGAAATAAAGTATATCTCTATCTATCACTACAGACAGCGTGATATCTACCACCACATTTCAACTTGACATTTTAAGTCTCTAATGAGACAATGTAATTCAATATAAGAACGGACACGAATATGACATTCTTAAATATGAGAACTTATGTGTGTGATTCATGAAGCACTCAGCTGACTTTTGAAACAGAAGACAAGGTGTGGGTGTGCGTCTTAACATTTGACATTCAGTTAGAATTCTCTTGGTTGATTTGAAAAAAGGTCTAAAGGTGAGCAAATATCACGCTGAAAACTATTGGTTCATTCTGAGCAGAGTGAATAAGGAATAATTTACGTGTGCAGGTTGTGAAAAGTTTCCTTTCCCTTGAGTGTTGTTGTGAAATATAAATTAACATTTAAACATCTGTGCATAATGTATGGTATATCTGATCATTTCACTTGCAACATATCCTTTCTAATGTTTAGTAAATAGTTGGGTGTTACTCAGGCCAGTTGCCAACATATTATAAGAAATATGATCATAATTGTGTCATTTGTGGCTTTTGCTAACATATCCATTTAATACTGCTATATCTCCGAGTGTCAGCTTAATGTGGAGGCTAAAAGCCTGAAGCGACAGGAGACGTAGACAAGTATCCTCGCAGTCTAAACCAGCAGCAAGACCAAATATATGAAACTGGCAAACTAAAGACTACAATCTTGGGGCAGAGCGAGTCCACGCAATGCCGACGGTTCAAACAAAGATATTAATGTGTGGGTAAGGAAATATTGTACATTTGTGTATCTTTAACATTTGCGTTATAAAATATAACCATCACACCTACGTTCTGATGGGAAGGTTATGCAGGTGTGACATATGTGCGCTCATCTCCGGCTTCCCAGATACAGCTTGTTTCTCATATTGACGTCTTTGTAAGGAAAGTAAGTATTTGCCCATCATGTGTTAATTCTGGTACTATCATACTCAAGGGTGTGATGCATACAGCCCAATCCTTATGTAATCATTATGGCTTTCGGTTGAACATTTGATCAAGCTCTTACTTCAGTATCATGTTTATCGAATGCTGTAAATGTCTTTTGATCAGAAATGTCCTGCCGTTTTCCCACCCTAATGAGAATTCATTCGACTCCCTGTAATGACTCTTCGTTGTGAAGAGGGTATGTTTTGTGCTTCTGTTAATTATTCCTCGAGCTGACTTAAAGAGCTCTGAGAGCCCAACATCCGACTCACAAGAGTTTCCAAATGATATTTTATCAGATAACCAAAAAATTGCTTTAAAGATGATTATCTTGAAGCCCAGATTAATATGATCCTGTTGTACTAAATAATTCTTTCGCCTCACGGTCATAGTTGGCAATGAAAATTAACAGCTTCGGGAAACCGCTTCATTGCTTTGTCTCTGTATTAGTGATGAACTAGGACACCTGTCCAAGATCGATAAGATTCTGTATGTCGATCAATCTGATATTCATTCTGCCAACAGGTAGGCAAACAAAACTTTCTGTGTCAGTACTGGAACCCACAGGGCATCAATCACTTCTCTCCACTGCAAGAATCATTCATGGATCAAAAGTCACTGAGTATGATCATGCAATTATATAAAAGCATACAAAACCTTTCCATAACCATAGGAAATCGCTCTTTAAAACAGCGCCACTTGTACAACTCCTACTACAAAATATGCAAGTGTTTATGAATACACTGTCACAAATAGTTTAACTGTTGTTGTTTTTTCTGAAGAGCTACAAACAGTATAGCTACAAGGCTTTAACGTTTAATAATTAGATTTCGATATAAAATATGCAAGTGTTTATGAATACACTGTCACAAAAAGATTAACTGGGTTTTTTTCTAAAAAGCTACGAACAGTATAACTACAAGGCTTTAATGTTTAAAAGTAGATTTAGGTAGAAAATAAGGCGTTCGCCTGATTCTGTGACAGCAAGAGTATGCCATGTGATGTTGTGTGTTGTGATGATAGAGTGTTCGTCACTTGTCACTTATCTAAGAAATTGACTCCGTAATTGCTGCGACTTTGTCATAACAGGTGGCATTTGGCTATATATCGAGGTTACAAAATAAATCTTGCTTTGAAAACAATTATAAATGAGAGTATTGTTTGATATAATAATCCACTGAGACCCACCAATGACGTCCGCTTTGACGTCAGAGGTTGTTGATACAGGTATTGCGTGATGGGTGTCACTCAATATATACAATCAAGGTTTCTGGCCATCAAATGAAACATTCCACTTAAAGGAACGTGCGATCTACTTCAATAAACTGCTCAGCCATAATGTAATATTGATCAAGTCTAATTTCTCTTTCTTCATCATAACATTTTACGGTTTGCCCCGAAAGCCAAATTCGGTCGAAAAGATTTGTTTACGTTTCTGTGGAGCTCGTTCCAGTAGGTCTTAACTGTCAAAACAATTTATTTATACTTCGGTTTTTATTAATCAAATGTGTTGGTTATGTAAGGTATGAGATATATCCGATATCTTCATAATCTTTCACTTCTTTATCAACAGTGACGTAAAACGCTCATCTCATTGTACCGTTAAATATTAAACGTCAACAACCCTGAGCGGTGTAGCATCACCGAAATAATTACCCAGATCATCAAATGTGTCATATTTGTTGTTATAAAATGCAGGCATATTTTCTTTAATTACGACGAAAATAGTGTTTTAAAACAGTTCAACGCCGCGATTACTGGACTCAGAGCGTCTAAACGGACGGCAGATATTCTTCTGTTAGACAAAGCAAACATCGTCAATTGTCACAGTTAGTCAATATTATGGTAATCAAATCTCGTTGCAATGGTTTTCTAACTATCCCTTATGCCTCATCTGCGGACATAAATCATTCCAGGGAAGGGTGCCCTAATGTGAGTTGTACGTCCATTGTTTATCAATGCTTATTGAGAGGGTTACAACACAAGACGGAATGAGAGGTTTCATTTGTTGTGACAAACTTATACAATTCTAAATAGACAGTAGACATTAGATAGGTGATTGTTCATGCTACATTTATAAACATCATAAGAAGCACCATCGTAAATTTCACTCTTTTCCAGGATTCGATGTGCATAGAAAAAGAACTCAGAAT